GGTAAGTGGCTCCAATGGAGGTCTTCTGCACCCTAAAAGCACCTCATGAACTGCAGAGCATGTTAGCTCTGAGGGGTTCAGCCATGGAGCTTCCAGGCTGTGAGGGACTCGAGGTTCGGATGACTCAGACGGCCGTGGTCCAGGGAGATCAGGTCTGGAAATGGAGGTAGACGGATTGGTGTTTACACCAAGGGTCTAGGAATGTGGTAAATAGTGCTGGCAGGGCCAAGCCGGGGCTATCAGGATGACTCGTGCTTGGTCCTCAGCAAGACCTTGTGTATGAGAGGAAAGGCATAGAAGAGATGACCCATCCAAGGAAGGAGGAAGTCTTCTGCGAGAGACCCAGGGCTCTGACCCAGGAAGGAGCAGAACTGAAGACACTTCCTGTTGTGCTTCATCACGAACAGATCTATCTGGCGATTACCCCACTTCTGGAAAACGGCTTTCACAACATATGGATGGGTGGACCACTTGTGGCTAGAGAACAATCTGTTGACGTGATCCGCTAGCTCGTTCTGGTGATTCCAGCAGATAGGAGGCCTTGAGGTGGATCGAGTGGGCTATGCAGAATTCCTGCAAGCTAAGTGTTTCCTGGCACAGGTGAAAGGACCTCACTCCTCCCTGCCCGTTGATATAAAACATCACTGTTGTGTAGTCTGTGAGAACTGATACACACCTGCCCTCCACATGGGGTTGGAATGCCTGGTAGGCCCAGCAAATTGCCCTGAGCTCCCTGGCATTGATATGTAACAAGAGCTCTTCCAGAGACCAGAGGCCCTGAGTTCTGAGGGACCCCAAGTCAGCCCCCCCAGCCCATCGGCGAAGTGCCTGTGACAGGAGACACTGATGGTTAGGGTCTTGAGGATGGAACTCCTACACACACTGCCAGCAGATCCAGCCACCAATGGAGGGAGGCAATCACTGATGAGGGAACTGTGATGACTGTGTCTAAGTGGTGTCGGCTTGGTTAGTATACAGATGCCATCCACATCTGGAGAGGTCTGAACCTAAGTCTTGCATGCTGAATCACATAGGTGCATAATGTCATGTGGCCCAAGAGCTTCAAGCAGTTTCTTGCTGTGGTAATGGAATGATTTCTGAGGCTCTCTATAAGCATCCCTATTGCTTGGAACTGTGCTTCTGGGGTGAAGGCTCTTGCTTGAACTGAGTCACAGATCGCCCTAATGAACTCTAGCCTTTGAACCCAGGAGAGAGTAGACTTCTCTCACATTTATTAGCAGACCTAAATCCTGGAAAGTTGACTGTATTAACTTTATGTTGGACTCCACCTGGACCTTGGTCTGACCTTTCACCAGCCAGTCACTGAAGTAAGGGTACACCTGAACCCTCTCTCCTCAAGAAGGCGAACCTGAGGAACTTTCTGTATCCCTGAAAGATTGAGATATGGAAGTAAGCGTCCTTCAAATCATGGGCAGTGTACCAGTCCCCTGGTTCCAGGGAGAAGATGACAGAAACCAAGGAGACCATGAGGAACTTTAGCTTCTTCATGAATCTGTTGACCTTTCACAGGTCTGGAATCGGACTGAAATCGCTGTTGGCTTTCAAAATTAGGCAATAACGGGAATAGAAGAGAGATGGGGATGCGGACAACTAAACTGAAGGTTATATCCCAGTGCTATCATGCATAGCACCCAGAAATCTGAGGTAATACGGGCCCATGCCTGACAGAAATGGGATAAATGGTCCACAAAAACTAGGGAAGTTGGATCCCAGTTCTGTCCTTGTACATCGTCCTTGAGTGTCCCATCGAAAGGCCTGCTTAGACCCTGCAGAGTGTCGGGGGGAGGGGGAGAAGGCAGGTGCGGACCAGGATTAGTGCAGAGGTCTTCTCCTAAAGCCTCTGCTTCTATTGTAGTCTTGCCAGGTGGGTGGTGGGAAGAAAAGAGGAGCCAGCTGAGGCATATCATCATGTTTCCTCAAGGATGCCATGTATAAAGCCCTAAAGACTTCAGGATGGCCTTTGAGTCCTTTAGGCTGTGCAGCTTGGAGTCTGTCTGTTCAGAAAAGAATGACGTACCCTCGAAATTAAGGTCCTGTGATGACTGTTGAACCTCATGCTGTAGGTCCGAGGACTGAAGCCCAGAGCTTCGCATTGCCACCACTGAGGACATGGATCGAGCTGCAGAGTCCGCAGCATCCAAGGCTGCTTGCAGGGACACCCTTGCCACAGATTTGCTTTCCTCCATGAGAGCTGCAAATTCTTGCCTGGACTCCTCTGGTAGTAGCTCCTTAAATTTCAACACAGAGTCCCAGGAGTTAAAATTATACCTGCTCAGGAGCACTTGCTGATTTGCAATCCTGAGCTGAAGGCCATCTGTTGAATAGACCTTTTTGCTGAAGACGTCTAATTTTTTGGCATCCTTGGCCTTGGCACTTGCTGACTCTGTTGTTCCCCACTCATTGGCTGCTGACACAACCAAAGGTTGTGGTAGAGGTGTATAAAGGAATTCGCACCCCTTAGCTGAGACAAATTATTTCTTTTCCATTTTCTTTGCCATTGGCTGGAGGGACACCGGGGTATGCCATAATGCCACTATGGGGTCCATAATAGCATCGTTTAGTGACAATGCCACTCTTGAAGGGCCTGTTACCACTAGAATGTCCACCAGGGCATGGGAGGATTCCCTGATCTCCTCTACCTGGATACCCAGGTTTTGAGCCACTTTCTTGAGGAGCTCTTGATGCACCTTGTAATCGTCTGCTCCCGCGACAGCCTCACTTGTACAGGCAGAGGACGACACTTGTACAGGCAAAGGACACTGTTCTTCACCCTTGGCACTAGACAGGTTTCGTGGTGTCGGGTGTTGATATTTGGCATAGATCTTGGTACCAGAGCCTGGATCTCACTCCAAGAGGAGCGGTGGGGGTGTTTTGGACTCTTACACCACAGAGTATGATCTTCTGGAATGGGACCCTTGCATCGGCGGAAAAGCCCAGGGGTTCTAGAAAGGCCACTATACTGGTATCTGCCACTGTCCTGGAGGCCAAGCCACAGGTGGGATGCCTTGGCTTGGGTCTATGGTCGGGTAGTGCCAGCTGGAGTTATGGTGCCGGCTCCTGAGAGAGGTGTATAACTCCGCCTCCCCATCAGTCTCTGAAGATTCCTTTCCTGGAGACCAGGGTGCAGCAGTGCCGACCAGTGCCAGCAAGCAGTGCCAGGAGGGAGGAGATTGGGGATGGGCCATCGTGGCCAGTTTCCCGTTTGAAGGCACCTGAGGCCTCGGTGCCATGGAGGTTCCTCCCACCGGTGCTGCCACTGACAGCTCCCGTACAGCTGGGAATGGTGGTACCGGTAGAGAGAGTAAATCTCTCGCTGCCTGAAATGCCTCTGGCATTGACGGAACCACCCAGGCAGTGGAGCTCCGGTGGCTCTCCTGTGGTGGAGAGTCCATAGGTGCCGGAGACAATAGCGCCGCACGAGTTGTTAGAGACACCGAGTGGCCTGATGCGGTTCCACTCTACTAGTGTCTCCGTGCTCAAGGTTGGGGGAATCGACCTCTATTGGTCTTTTTCTGCTTCCTTCTTGGCACTGGTGATGGAGAGCAGTGCCAAAGTCCCTCACTGGTGCACTTTTCTTCGGCACTGAGGATGACCAACTGGGGATGCTGAGGCTCTCAAGAAGAAGGAGCATCTTTTCTCAGTGCCAGAGAGGAACGGTGCTGAGTTTCCCGAAGAGCTGGGGCACTCCTTGCTGAAGTACTCAGTGCCCCGGCTCCAAGGGAGGTTGAAATGCTGCCTCCATGAGGATAAATCTGAATCTAGTGCCTCTATCCTTTTTGTTGCAGGGCCTGAAGTCTTTGCCGATCTTGCAGCGCTCCTACATGTGAGCTTCCCCCAGGCACTGAAGCTAGCTGGAATTGGGGTCACTCGCAGGCATAGGCTTGTGGCAAGAAGCACAAGGCTTAAACCATGGAGACCGAGGCATTCACCTCTACTGGGCAGGGATTAACCCTGCTGAGTGGTGTTCGCTAACCTATTTATCTAACAACTGAAACTTAACTACTAAGAATAAAAGATAACTATATACAACGAGGTTAGAAAGTCCACATAAGGAGTACTTGTGAACACAAGGACGAGGCAGTTGCAGCAACCATCACGAGCAGTAAAAAGGAACCGAGGGGGCTATGGGTCGGCAGGAGCCTTTATACCGGTACTATGAGCGTGCAACTCCAAGGGGCACCAGAGCCGACCCGATGGATACCACTGAAGGAAAAAATTTCCAGTGGCATAGGGCAAGCACACATCTACATTGCAATGGACATAAGCAAGCACTGAAAAAAAATCAAGTTATTTGTCTTCACTTTCCAGGCCCTTCATGATTTATCCCCCAATCTACCCATTATATCCCATTTGCTAACAAAATGTCAACTCCCACCTCCAATCAGGCCATGATGCCAGTCTCCATCAACCACTTGCTAAATTTTCAAACAAGCACTACCATGCCTTCTCCCAGGCTGCCCCTCATGCTTGGGAGAAGCTCCTCATAAACATCGGCTAAGCTACCTCCTTCAAATCCCTCTTTACAACTCTCTTTTGCTGTGATGCCCAAAAAAAACTGGACAACGAGCCACTGCTGTGTCCATACCACTCCCCATCATGCTGACCAACAGCATTTCATTGTCTGTCTCCATCTATTGTCTCGTCATAACGTCGATTGTAAGGTCTTTGAGGCAGGAGTCATCTTTTTGTTCTGCATTTTTACAACACCTAGCACAATGAGATTCTGGTTCTTGACTGGGACTTCTAGACAGTACAGCAATACATTAATAAATTACAATTATTATTACAATTAATTATATGTCTAAGTAAAATAAGCAAATCAAAGTCAGTTCTGGCATAAGCTGGTGCAAACTTGATTCAGTACAGTTCAGGCTAGGAGTAGGACAAGGATGCTAAAAGAAAAGCTACCTGAAATTTTTCCAACCTAGAGCAGAATAGTTAAGAGCAAAAAAATAAAAATAAAAAAAAAAACTAAGTACCTTCTCTTTTGTCACCTTGACTAAATTCAGCATGGGGAAATACTTTGTGTAAAACCACCAGGAGGTTACTGAAGGTTCTTTCCAGCAGCGGCCTTATGACAAGGGATAGTGCATGTCCTGAAGACATCACGGCACGTTGGGAAGCAGGCACAATATTCTGCATTGCATGGTAAAAATCTTGTGCGCTGAGAACTATTGAAGAAACATCAAGCTGCAGTTTCTGACTGCTCGCGTAAATCTGAGGATAGCGCCGTCGCAAGGCAATCAAGGCAGCCTCAGTGCAAAGTGCTTTTATGTCAGCTCCACAGTACCCTAGTGTACAAAAAAAACAAACATACATATGTTCCATAAAGAAGCACCAACATTTTGCATATGTACAAACAAGCTTGAAGCTAAAAGAGCAGCCAGTTGCACTTCATTGTCACAGACTCTTTCACATTGCATCCAGTGAACAGGTACTGTTCCAGTGCAAATTAACCTAGGGACTGATTACAGCTTAAGAAGCAAATGTTAAACCCCTATTAAAACCAATGATACCATTATCTGGACTACTGTCAAAGACCACCAGAAAAAAAGATAACTGTGGATAGCCTATGGAAGAAAGGCAAATGCAAATACAAAATAGCATCCACTGATATTCCTATACAGCAATGTGATATGGCAAGAAATTAATATCATGTCAATATCAATATTTTCCAAGATTTTATTATAGAATTTACTGTAGCTTCCCCCCTGCTTTGTGTCATCTCTATTCCTTTTCTTTTTTATAGTCTTTGTTTTATACACGAATGCATCAGTTGCAACTGTAATTGCGTGAAACAGAATTGTAAAAAGTTATAGGGAAGCCTATGTACAAAATGAAAAACTTCTTTTGTGATTATTTTTTTAAAGCAGCAAATGGTCCAAATGAATTTTAGGAACAAAGTGCATATACCCACAAAGCATCTGAGAAAATGGAGGATATTAAGGAAAAATACTTAATCAGAGCATATAAGTAGACAGGAAAATTCCCTCACCTAATTCATTCTTCATAGCTGCTAGAAGAAACTAAGGTTTTACTGTCAAGCACAACACTCTCTCTCTCTCTGTCTTTTTAATTTTATAACTCTAGTAGTATGGAGAAAGATAGCAGAAAATCTACTACGCTGTCGTAGTGTTTTTTATTCATTCTATTTTCTGTTTAGCATCTATAGCTGCATAATCATCATTATTTAGAGCAGGGGTCGGCAACCTACGGCACGTGTGCCAAACACGGCACGCGAGCCGATTTTGAGTGGCACGCTGCCTGCCCGGTGAGAGGAGGGGCAGAGGGGCCGGAAAGCGCCACGCTGGGGGAAGAAGCAGGGGAGGAGGGAAGCTTGGCTGCCGCAGGACCAAGCTTCTGCCTCCTGCCTCCGCAGGGGA